CTATAGTGGCTTCCGCGGATGGCATCAATTGGAACGGTACGCCACTACAGTGGCGTTCCGCCGAGACCCTCTATTTTTGCGCCACTATAGGTGGCTTTCGTGGATAGCACCAATTTGGACGGTACGACACTATAGTGACTTTCGTGGATATCATGATTTTGGACGGTATTGTACGTTCTTTGCTTCATTTCGTATTTGTTTCGCGAAATATCGCGAATTCCTGGCAATATCGAAGCTGTCGTTGAAGAGTACACGTGTCAGAGAATCGTCATGAACGGTTTTTGTGCCATCCGCGGCCAAGTGCGCCGTCCCAGGGGTACCCACTTGCGAACGAGCGCGCCGTACCTAAAAGGTTAAACAGTACTTCGTCCGACAATTTAAAAAACTATATTTATTCCGTCGTTGACTACGCGGCTCAATTTACTCTCCTCTATCCTTACAATTCTTATAGTTCTTATATGCCGGCTTTGACGCCTCTCTCTTGCCTTCGGGAAACCCTGGCGCAAGTTGGGGGTTTCTACCTGGCAAGGACCGCGAGCACGTGGCTGGGTCCTTTCTGACCCAGCCCTTAGCGCGTGGGGGAGTCAGGCGTTGGGACCGAGGTCATAAACCGGCCCGAGTCCCTACCTTCACTCAACCATATTCTTACATAAGTTAATACCATCTATGAAATTTTGAAGCTCAACCCTTTCCAGACTCCGAACGCACAAAATACTGACGATTCGATCAAAAATCTTTCTTGAAAGGGTTAACGAACCTCCAGAAAAAATGACACTCGTAAACAGTCAAAGGCGATACCATGCGCCGAGACTCCGAAAAACTTGGCACCCTTTGGTAATCCGCAGTTGCCCAGAGGAAAGACTGCCAAAAGAAGTCACCCTTCGCAGTGGAATTCTCCCTCGTCCCGCAGCGACCAAAGGAGTAGTACACGACTCGTTTCTCGAGGCCAGTGCAAGAGAGCGTGGGCGGCTGGGCTCACGCTCGGCCATTTATGTCCTTAAGCGAGGACGAATCGCGCGGGAACGAGTGGGCCGCGGCGATCGCGAACGAACGGGAAGCCGTACAGCACAATGGTCCGCGCGCTAATGAAACGCGACGGCCGGCGCGAAGTCACGTCCGATCCCATGGCGTTAGACGGACGAGCCGCGACGCAGCTTCTTCCACGATGACAGTCCGACTGACATTCGGACGGCTCGCGACCGGTTTCCGCGTTGCAACATTGTGACATTGAGAGACGTTCTTTCACATCACGTGCCGCTATTTTCGGAGGTTACTCGCCAATTTCTTTCTCCACTTATCCCACCGTCGTTCTCTCTTCGGCGTTCTCCGGCGCGAGGTTACGCGTTCAGTACGTTCGAACTGGTATGTGCTCGAAGATCGTTCTGGTAAGAGCGATAAATTAAAGAGTTATTAACAGGAAGCCAGGAGCTTCGTCGATAGAAACGACCGTAGGTGGGAGCATCCGGTGGCGTATTGTCGCGTCTCATTATCACGTGGACGTCCACTGAGGCATTCGCTCGATGCACGAATATAGAATGTCTAGTGTAACGCTGCGAATCGTTGCACGAACGAATATTGAGAAACTATTTAATAAGCATCGAAGCTAACTAGGCGAAATTAATGCCTCACTTAACCAAACTATCACTCATAATTATATTCTTTTAAACAAGGTCTGCGAAACAAGTTGAATACTTGACTTCTTCCTCGAGAACTGGTTAACCGAAGTTGCTTGCAGAAATAAAGAACGTTGCAAGCAAATTGGTGAGCAACGGTATAGTCGGTGAAAGCGATCGAGTGGGATCGCGAGATCAGTTTCACTTCAAAGTATACGTACATAATTTAACAAATTTTCTTATATTTTAATTCTTGACGGCTTCAGATCAGTTTTTACCGATCAGTGTCGCCGCTGAATTAAATTAAATTCCAGAAATTATTAAGCTGCCTGTTTTCAAGTATCCAGCGACTTTTGTTGAAATACAGAAATAATTACACGAATTTCTGAACACACTCTTATCTAAATATATCAGAATTGTATTCTATCGTTAATTCACAAGCTCGCTGTATCGCTTCCAGCAACTGTACCATCGCAACGCCAAAATTCGCACACCCACCGCGGCATAAACCCCCATAAAACCGCTGAACCTAACTACACAATCTCGAACCCGTACAAAAAAGATCGTCGTCTATCGTGTCTGGATCGCAAATTGCCGGCTGATCTTTTTTCGGCACAAAGAGGAGGGGGGATAAAACGAAACGTTCCCGAGTGGTTTTCGCGTCGTGAAGTTCCGTGACTCGGCCGATCTCTTTTCGCGTGTCCTCCCACGCGTCGCGTCTCGCGTTTTCCGGTGTCCTTTGGCGCTGCGCCGCCGACAGGTTTGCGTCGCGCCGAAAACGCCCCGCCACCCACCGACGCGGCGTGCCATTAGCGGCGTGTTTGCGCCGCGGTAACGCTGACTTATGGTATTTGTCTCCTCTCGTGGAACGGGCTTACGTAACACTGGCTGGCTCTGGTCGCGTAGGTGAACGGGCTCTCGCTGACTTTAATTCCTCCGCGTCGCGCGGCCAACCACGGATGAAAGGGATTCCCGGCATTGCTCGGATTCGGGCGTAATTGTTGCATTTCTGGCGGAATATTCCCGGTGGAAATGTCACGTGTAGGAGAGATTCGTTGATAGTTGTTTCACGAAGAGATTCTGGGTGGTAAAGAGATTTTGCGTTGTCTTCTCGGTTTCTATCCCTTTGACTATACACCATCGTCCATAAGTGCAAACTTGTTTCGGAACATGAAGGATATTAGAAAATTAACAATGGAGTAGGAGTAGTGTACGCTTTAAAAGAAGCTGCGTTACATTTGCGTTGGCAATGATAACAAATACGCCACGGTGTAATATTAAGAATAGGAAAATATAGTGTGGGGTTTTTGGTACGAAAGAGTGACTGTGGGGTGAGATGAAGAAATGGAGAGAGTTGGCGTGGCTGTTTATGTTTAGGCGATAACATGGGTTGCCAAGCCGACTGCGACGTCTCTTCATTTTCCAGTGTGTGGATGCGTGTGTTCGAGAAAAAATAACAGCGTGTGTGGTGGACCACCTAACCGTGAGCATCGAGAGAGCGAATTACATTTTCTTCTTACAAATAAAAAACAATAATAGTGAACAGCAGCGGCGACACGTGGGGTAATATTAATTTATTGAATAAAAAGTAATCAACAAACTCCCACAACAGCGTTCCGTTTTAAAAAATTGATTTAATTTCGCAGTGAACAGAGAAAAAAAATTTATACCATATTACGTCCTACATCATACTGAACAACTTTTGTAAGAACATTTTTTCGATAGCTTCAGTTCCTTCTGAGATATTCCACTATGAGCTCGGTTAAAAAAGACACCCGGTACGTACATTGCGGATCATTTTGACCTGTATTCCGTAGTCCTGTGAGCACCCGGTGTCCAAGGATAAAAACTGACAGCAAGGTAAATGAGTTTGCGACAATAATAGAAGTGTGATACGTCCATTATCCACGGTAGTATCACGACTGCGAAAGGCTACGAGTTTCAAGTATGGATACGCATACGTCAAGTAATATAAACTCACTTCTCGGACAGCGAGCTACAAGTTCAAGTATTATTCTTGCATCACCGGCTCGAATAAATCTGAGCGGCGCTCGGAGCAAGCTCAACAGATCGATACCAGCAACGATAACAACCGGCAAACGTTCGCTGCTCGAGGCAACAGAATTAATCTCGCGGCTCTAAATCGGTGGCGTACGGAAATAGTCTCTCGGCTGTGCAGCTGTCGAGAGATTTCGCAGACGCGCGTGCCGTCAGAGAGAAAAAGAGAGAGAGTTCTCTAATTAAACGCGAGCTAGAGCTCTCGAAACGCGAAACTGCAACGCCTCGAGACGCGTTTCGAGATCGCCGAGTGCGTGTTTACGTTCGCGTCGAGAGCAACTCCGGGGTGGAGAAAAATTCGCGAAACGCTTGCTCACGCGATAAGCCATTCTCGAGGATCGAAACGAGATTTCCACCCGAGAAACACGTCGCGTCCTCGACGTCAGAATTTTTCCAGTTAATCGCCGGGGCATGAATCGAGCCAATGTGGAAGCTCTTCAAACCGGCCGGCGTGACGTGAAGTAGCCACTTTACAGCCGCGTCCCGCCTACGCGGCCACTTCCGACAGAATTTCAAGTTCACCGAGGGCCTCGATAAATCATACGAACGGCTCTGTATGAAGTTGTCGCGATAGTCGCGCCGTGGGCGCCGCCGACTTTTCGCGAAACGCGAATCCGATACTTTGTACGCCGGACGAGAGGCCCATGGCGGATCGTCAGGCGATAAAGTGTACGGAAATACGCGCGGGAGACTTCGATGCGTGGCGAGGAGAGCTGGTCGCGCGAGAATACGCGAAACGTTTCGTAGGAATATGAAATTGAAAGTTGGGACTGAAACTTAATTACTTACTTCACTTTCCAAGCATTTGTTCTTCCTTTTTTTTTTTTGAGATTCAAATGATTCGAGCAATAAAAAGTGAAAAAAACATAAAGAAAGAGGGACAAGGCAATCCTGACGTTACTGAGATCGCATGTGCAATAAAATATTATGAGTTTAAACGAGCGTTTTAAGATCGTTAATTAAGTTACTCTTAAGACTCGCCCGCACTTGAGTAAAATTACACTCTCGAGTGTTTGTTCTTCTTTTTTTAAGATTCAAATGGTCCAGCAATAAAAATTGAAAAGTAGGTAGAGAAAATAAGCGGACAACCCTGACATTACCGAGACCGCAAGTGCAATAAAATGGAGCCCGTGTACGCAGCGTATTATTGCGTTTTAACATCCTTGATTAAGTTACTCTTAAGACCCATCCACACTTGAATAAAATTGCATTCGCAAAGCTTTAAAAATTCTCCAAAATTACTTAACGAGACCTGCCGGTACATCGAATACTCAAGTGTGTATCAGTCTTAATTTCACCGTATCGCAAAATCGATTAACATTCACTCACCGAATCCCATCCGAACCTCTTCCTCGTCGTCGCTATCGATATGCTTGATCCCTGCGATTTCGAAGCTCCTCGTCGACTGTTCCTTCCTCGTCTTCGCCGAGGACGAACAATCACACGTATCTTCCACAGTCCCGCAGCCACACTCATCCCCAGCACACCTGCAGCCTAGCAAAGGGTCGTCCGTGTCGATATTCCTGCACGCTGGACACGGGAACGTTAAATCGTCCAAGGAGACCCTCTCGATTTTCCTCTCCACGGAGACCAGAAGATTTCCGATGAACGCGGGTAGCTCGTCGTCTCCAACTTCGTCCACGTTTCTCGAACTTTGCAACCTATCTTCCATCTCGTTCCCCTCCCTCTGCTTCTCCAAAACAGCCTCGTCGAGGCGCAAAGGTGTCTTCAGGTCGTCCGGAAGAAGGATCTTGCTCCTGGTCTCACACCTGGCGGTCTCCTTCCACTTCTCCATGGTCGTGGACGAGACGACCTTGGCGCACCTCTTCACTTTGGCGCGACACTCGTCGCTGGAAAGACTAGAAGAGTGGTTCGAGCTGGCCCTCGTCGACGTTCCGTTCTTCAATTCACCGGCTTCCAGCTCTGGCTTCCACGTGCCCACGCTCGACGTCGACCTGGACTTCATCACGGCGTGACCAGCGTCCACCTCGTGGTCCACTGTACGAGCATCGTTCGAACTTTTGCACTCCAGACGATCTATAGACCTCGTCTCCTCGCGACGATGCTGCTGTTGCTCGAAAGCACAGGCTGGATCGCGGGGCCTGGAACGGACCTCCTCGCGAGAGCGTCGCCGAGGCCGCATACTCTTCGCGATGCTCGACGATTGCGATCCGGACAGGCTGTTACTCGCCGCGCTCGAGCTACCCTGCCCCTTTCGAGACACCTCCCGCCAGTCCATGAACTCCTCCTCGCGGTCCCAACCGAGGAACCCTGGGGCCCTCATCGACGTTGTTCGCCAAACTACTGCGATCTGCGCAGAGGACAGATGGTATTTTGATAGAGGCTGTTTTATTGTTGTTCTCTTTGCATTTAGGGTTTGAAACTCACAAGTTTGTTATTGTGTTATTTATGTGTCGTTAACATGTTCACTGCGGATCTCAGAGACTGAAACTTGGTAATTTTATCTGGGAGTGAGGGATGTATAGTCGGTGGAAGAAATATTGATACAGTGAGATCTAAGGTCCATATATGGTATTTTACGTTTTTCCATTGGGACTGAATCAAAGCTAAGCTGACTGAAACTTCTCAGACAATCTTACGACTTCGTTACATTTCTTCCTCCGACTGTACCTCGAGAGATCGGTGAAACGCGTGGCTGCAATTGGTGAAACAGTGACCTACACAAACCAATTACCTACACTTCACGCGATTTCTGCACATGTACAAGAATTCACGCTATTAACACGTCATTCGCAGTGAACGCGTTAAGTCCCATTTACTCCATTGCAAGGAGAAAATTGAAGTGGTACAAGTGTTCAAGTGGTACATTAAGCTCGAAGTTGAGCCGAAGAGAACGAACGACTCTCGGGACGTTCTCCGGAAGTGCGCGAGGCCGTTAATACCTGTACGAAAAAGCGACAAAGGAACGTGACTCACCTCGACGGTATTCCGCTCGACGGTTTCACCAGCGGCAGCTTCGCCGCTCCCCGAGGTGGTTGCAACTGCAGCTGCGCTGCGTATGCAGAGGTAACATTCCCCGAGACGTAGCGCGGAGGCCTCGAGCTCTCCTAGCTGCAGGACGAGGCCACGTCTGCCCAGCGTCAGAGGCCAGCCTTCCGGTACCACCGATTCGTTACCCTGCAACCAACGGAACCATGCTCGTTATTATGCTAATATCCGCAGACCGAGCTTTCGCGGCAAGTGCACCGTCTGCGAGTCAAGGTTACTCGAGTTCATACGAAATTAATAAAAACCAACAAGCGATGAGATTCACAGAAATTACGCAACGAGCCGAGATAGTTACGACCTTGAAGTTCAATAAATCCAAAGCACGATTATCGTAAATCGTGCATTTATCGAGGCCATAATCTGTCAAAACGTAAAACACCCACGAACACGTTCCAATTACCCGCGGATGCGCCGTGGAAAAAAAAAGGCCTCCCGAATGGTTTACGGAGCTCGTAAACACGCGAAACAGCGATATTCCTCGTGGACCCCTCGTTTCTCACGTCAATTCGATCATCTCTCGAAGGGTGGTCCCGGACAATCGGGACGATTAATTAGAAGTAAGCCGGAAGCCTCGCGTCTAATGAAATTCCTCTAAATGAGTTGCACGCGAGAGGGAGGGTTAATTGCGCGGCCGAGCCCCTCCCACGGAGGGGAATTTTAATCGCCGGCTGATTAGAGGGCAATCAACGCTGCACGCGGGTACACGCCCAAAATTGAGGAGACGTGCGCGTTCTCCGCGAATCACGTCGTATCGCAGCTGTCCCACGGTTTCTCTCGCTTCTGATGGACCGGAATGCGGCCGGAATTTCGTTGGATACGGATTGCGTTTCGCGAAACGAAGTGAAATCGTCCTGGCTCGACTTAGAATATACAGCGCCGTTCAAAAGTTTCGGATTGGATATTGAAATTTCGGGATTCAATTTGGAATTGTCGATAGCGTATTTTTTACTTTGAAAATGTCTGAATTTTACTGGTTTATGAAAGAGGAATTAACGAGGGTATGATTTTTTTTTATTAAACAAGGATTTTATTTGATTTATTTTCCTATATTTTTGGGGGTGATACTGTATCTGAATTTAGGTGCATCGCCGTTTATTTCTCCTGGCTGATGTAGACGCTCGTTCGAATATAGATTCGTTAAATGTCTTTATTGGATTAAGGGGTACAGGGCGTTTCATAATATGGTAATGACTTCGCTGAGGTATCTGGTACAAGTTACTGCTAAGCGCGGCAATAAAATTGGAAGGTTATATCGAAGTCCAAGGTGATTACGTTAAACACCTTGCTCCCAGACAGAATTATCGAAAGATAAAAACATTCGTACGGTGGAAACGAGGTCAAACAGAGCGGGTATTCACGCGAACATGTTTCATTATTTCCTTATTGGGACTTGATCGTATGGTCTTGGTTGGAACGACCGCCACAAACCTGTCACACCTTCCCCGTATCTGTTGTACAGCTTAATAAAACCTGCTTTACCTGCTTCCATATCAATAACCGATACAATCGACATTATCCTTAAAAGAACGTGTAATTCCAATGATCGGTACAACTCGGTGTAACTGAAATAATATCGGCGATAACCGTCATGTACACACATGTTTCCACATTGCTGGCAATTCGATAGCCTCAGACTATAGGAACTCTCTCTCTCTCTCTCTCTCGTTCAAAGTGGAGGAAGATTCTCTTTGTCAGAATTTGTGAAAGGGCATCGTTGCAATGGTACAACTTGGAGCGCCTGGTGTTTCGCCCACGTGCATCGATGCGCGGTCCAACGTGTAAGCAATTAGACGGTGCAACGCGCGAATAAAAGCGACCGGTAGAATGCTCACACCTTGCCCGCATACCAGCCGCTGCAAATTCAACGGATACGAAGTCACCGGGGAGGTACGCGCCTTTACGGCCGCCTTCGAGGAAGTTTGATTCGAAAGAAAGAGTGAAAATTAAGAGAATCTATTGGAAATTTCAAAATTCGTATAGGGCAGTAGTCAATTGTACTGGAAGCTCTATTTATAAATCCAACACTCCATCTGCAACACTCTGAGGACTCTTACAACACTCTGACTCTATACACAACTTTGACTCTATCTGTGTACAACACTTTGACGATTCTTTGCAACATTTCGAGTGTGTCTACAACACTATGACTCTATCTGCAACAGTCTGACGACTTTTACAACACTTTGACTCTATCTGTAACACTGTGACTCTATCTGCAATACTGTGCCTCTATCTACAACACTCTGACTCTATTTACAACACTTTGACTCTATCTGTAACACTGTGACTCTATCTGCAATACTGTGCCTCTATCTACAACACTTTGACAATTCTTACGACACTCTGACTCTATTTATAACACTTTGACGGCTCTATCTACAACATTCTCACTCTACCTGCAACACTCTGACTCTATCGACAACACTTTGACAATTCTTACAGTACACTGACTCTATCCATAACATTCTGACTCTATCTACAACACTCTGACTCTATTTACAACACTTTGACTCTATCTATAACACTTTGACTCTATCTACAACACTCTCATTCTATCTATAACATTCTGACTCTATCTACAACACTCTGGCTCTATCTATAACACTCTGGCTCTATCTGCAACACTTTGACTCTATTTACAACACTGTGCCTCTATTTACAACACTTTGACTCTATCCATAGCACTTTGACGACTCTATCCATAGCACTTTGACGACTCTATCTGCAACACTCTGACTCTACCCACAACACTTTGATAATTCTTACAACACTCTGATTCTGTCTATAACATTCTGACTCTATCTGCAACACTCTGGCTCTATCTACAACACTTTGACTCTATTTACAACACTTTGACTCTATCTACAACACTTTGACTCTATCTATAGCACTCTAACGACTCTATCTGCAACACTCTGACTCTATCTACAACACTCTGACTCTATCTACAACACTCTGACACTATCTGCAGCACTCTGACTCTATCTACAACACTCTGACTCTATCTATAACATTCTAACTCTATCTACAACACTTTTGCAACTCTTGCAACACTCTGACTCCATCTACAACAGTGACTCTATGTGCAAGGAAAAAATCTTCCCTCACCTTCTCTCTCTTCCACAATACACGCACCCTGTTTCGATGGTTTCCCACTAAAAAATAGTCAACACGCTGCTGGACCTCGTCATCGAGGATTTTCACGACGAATCCAGCTCGCGTCCCTCTCAATCTCCACTTTCTCTTTTACAACCCTCGTTCCACGCTTCTTAAAACTGCTCGCGCAGAAAACGGCGAGCATTTTTACGATACCACAAATCCTCGCCGCGCGAAGTACCTTGCCCCACGAATTCCGCGACAAGTCGACGTCACATCCTAGAAAAGGCGACAACGTTCTGAAATGCCGCGAGTAACCTGATCCAAACGAGTAAAACCATTACACAGACTCGCCGCAACGTGGCATTCGCGATACATATATCCATCAATAATCCAACACCTAGCGCTGATTTTAATCTACGAATCGGCCGAGTCATTTAGGAATTCATTACACCCATTAATTCCCCGTACAACCGCCGACCGTTACAGCCATCGAACGATTTCCATCGACGTCCATTGTATCCGCTATCTGCACCGGTTGCACAGCATCGATACACCGGGAGGCTAGGCTTTCCGTTATTTTTCTCTCTCCTTCGGTAGAGCACAGCCATAAATAACGAAGGATAATAAAGTCGCAGAGGCGGGTAGAAAAATGGTTCGAATCGGCCCGGTTGACAGTCGAATTCCACGGGACTTGTGCTCCGGCGATTGCGATCGCGAAAAACCGTTTCCCACGCGGCA